AGATGACCAGTGGTGGTCGACTTACCAGAGTCGACGTGGCCAATAACCACAATGTTGATGTGAACCTTCTCCTTTCCCATTGTAAACTTTTAAAGGAAAATAGTAAAAATCTGCAAATTTGAAATATAAATGAATATGAATACAAAAGCATATTAATAAAAATATGCATAATGTTTGCAGAAATCCCAACAAAACCTCATGAAAAGCAAATGAACAGAAATATAATATTTTCCAGGAAAAATCGAGGGCATTAGCCATTTAGATCTAAAATCGAAGCCAACCATGCCTACAGAATCTGTACACACGAAATCTAATGACATAAACAGATCATAGCAGCAAGGCTATCAACAATACATTAAATGAAAGGTAACTAATTTTCAGGCAAAATCGAGGACATGAGACATTTAGATCTAAAATCAAAACTCAGTGTCAACAGAAACCCAAGTACACGAAATCTAAAGGCATAAATCTATCATAACAGAAAGATTTCCCCTACCGTACGAAGCTCTTTAGTATACAAAAAAGAAACTTTACAAAAAACATAAAAACATCCCGATGCGATTTCAGATCCAGGGAAGAGTGGAAAACCCAACAGATATATCTTGTGAGAACTTGAAGATTACTATAAAGGGATAAATAAACGGAAAACAGACCTAGTAGCAGGTACAACTCAAAAGATACATTTGAGGGTACAAAATTTTAACAGGAAAAAAAGATCGATGAGCAGACAAACGATCTAGTACAAAATGAAACTCGGAAGACATATTTAAAGATACAAATCTCAGACCCATGCAAATCAAATAGCACAGATCGAAAAGAGAGGAACAAGCTCACAAATAACTCCAGTGTTCCAATTAGAAACTAAAGCAATATTTCATGCAGAAAAGTCACAAAACAACTAGCTAAAATAAGAATCCCTAAATGCAAATACTTTGAGATTCAATTCAAAATACTCTGGAAATCGATGAAAGAAATGAAACAAACGTTCATATAGATTTACACTACCAATACTAGAGAGTAGAAACATCGACTTAAAAGAACCATTTGGACATGAAGAGAAACAAAGATCTAACCTCGAGAAGAAGATGAACTCTCCCGAGATAGAGTCGCCGAAGGCTTTCAGGAGAGAGTGGGAGAAAGAGGCTGAGCTTAAAGGGCCTCCTCGTCTTTAAAAACCCTCTAACCCTCACTGGCGACTAGGGTTTTTCTGCCAGCCGTTTGATCTATTATTTATCCAATGGTTCAAAATTAAGTAACATTTTTAACCGTCGATCTCAAAACATCTTGCATCATAAAGGCAAGTCTCAATTTGTGTTGATCGAACTTTGACCGTACAATTTACAAACACTTTATTTGGATTAGTAAACTTCAACCCCTCAACTATAGGATTTTTTCATTTTATTACCTTATCTTAACTTAAAAAGTTATAAAGTACCCCAAATATTCTAATGATATCAAATAACCTCCTCACTCAATTTTTTATCTTAAAAACAGACGGAAAGTGCTCATATAATATCGAAGGGCCTTTTCGAATGTGCCAGACTGCCAGCTAGCATGTTGGTAAAGTCTTTTAACAGTGGCCACTCGCAGAAACAATCCCACCTTTGGACTAAAGGTTTGGGGAAGGGTGATACGATATTGTGTAGGTTTAAATTGGTTTTTGAATGTACATGGATATATCAAAAAATAAATTGATACATTTGGAAAATCTATACTATTTTAAAAAGCAGTAATTGATTCAATAATATTTTTAGAATTTTTTAAGGACAAAATTGACTCTTTATATTTAAATTTATTGATAAAAAATAAGGGCAAATAGGGTAATTGGTTCTTGATATTAAATGGATTTAAAAAAGGTAATGTTAAAATATTCAATGCATTCAATTTTTTTTCATTAAATCCAACATGTAAGTTATTAACTTGCATTCATGTTCATTGATTCAAATATTTAAGTTATTTTTGTTTCTTCTCATCATTCATTTTTAATAATTAAATCCAATAACATAAAAGTTTATGCTTTTAAAGTTTACCTAACAAAAATAGTGTTTTCATCTTAAATCATTTTGGGTCAAATGGGTCAATCCATGTTGCCACGACTAAATAATAAAATTAAAAAATAGATCAAATGAAAAAAATATAAATTAAAAAAGAAATGACAATATTTTTAACATAAATATTAAACAATAACAAGTATGATAAACAATAAATGTTTTTATTAATGATGGAAATGGAATGTAAAATTTAAAACCAATTAGAAATAAAAATATTTTCCTATTCTACTCATTAAGTCCTATATTTAAGATATATTCTTCTCATCGTTAAATTCTTGTAATTAAATCCACAACAATAATTTTAATATTATAAAAATAAATATTTCAAAAAGTAATTTAAAAAACAAAACCATTTTCTTCCCTCCCGGTGGTAGGTAAGCAATTCGACCATTTGGGGTCAAATGGATTAATAAATAATATCATAATTAAATAATAAAAAAATTAAAATAAATAACTATGAAATGTAAGAAGTGTTTTTATTAATGATGAAAATGGAATGCTAAATTTAAAATCTAACTATAAATGAAATTATGTCATAATCAAATAATAATTTTTTTAATAACAGAAAATACAAAAAATCACAAAATAAAGAAAATTGTGGTCACATATCTAATGCTATATATCTATAAAAAATAAAATATTGGGTACATTTCTAATATTATGCATTCATTATATTGAAGAAAAATAAGTTTTATACATAAGAAATAATTTTATCAGTGATGGAAATGTAATACAAAACTTAATGGCAATGATAGAAAATTTAATGTATAGGGTATCAATGATGGAAATGGAAATTTAGTTTTACCAACGATAGAAAAATACAAAGAATCACAAAACTAATTTTTTTAGATGGTGGGTTAGTGTATTGAGTCAAATGATACCACAGACAAACAAAAATTAAGTGCGATAAGTAAAAAATATTTTATATAATGTAAATGAAATATAAATTTAAAGGGAAAATTATAGTTAAAGTTGGTTGTACATTTAAAATTAGGTTGCAGGTCGGTCCAGAAACCAACAAAACTCTGACAACCGGCTCTACATTTCAAATTATAAAAAACCCCCACCATGTCATCAAAGACTTATGTGGTTGTTGCCAAGATGGGACTCTTAGTCCTTGTTGGACACAACAAAATCTTATACCGAAAATAGGTTTTCATTTACTCTCCCACTCCAGCCAAATCAAATCCTCTCTCTCTCTCTCTCTCTCTCTCTCCCTCTCTCTCTCTCTCTCTCTCTCAATCTTTCATTTTATTCTCCCTCTCGGTCAATATCTCCTTCTCCCTCAATCTCTATCATTCTCCAATTGGTGTAAATTTCATAACCAAAAGTTTCTTGTGAATTTTTATCAAATTATTGTAATGATTTTTGAACCATACCAAGTTGGTCTCATGTTCTTTTATACAATCTGATTAATATCATACGTGTGTAACAAAATAAAAAAAGAACGAGAGAAGGAGCAGGAGAGAAATTGAGGGAGAATGATAGAAATTAAGGAAGAAGGGGAGATCGATTGAGAAATAGAATGAGAAAGATTGAAGGAGAATGATAGGTAGAGAGATAGAATGAGCGAAATTGATGTAGAGAACATAAATACAAAAACTAAAAGCCATTTTTATTTATTTTCAAATCACATAGTCGTTGAGCATATAAAGATGAGAGAGAGAGAGAGTGAGAGAGTGAGAGAGTGAGAGAGAGAGAAACTAAAAACCTTTTTTAATTTTCCAATCACCCAACATTAAAGGGCAATTTTGGTATAAGCTTTTTGTTGTGTCTGATATGGAATAAGAGTCCAATGTTGGCCCAACCACATAAGCCCTCAATGACATGGCAAGGGTTTTTATAATTTAAAATGTAAAGTTGGTTGTTAGAGTTTTGTTGGTTTGTGGACTAACTTGTAGCCTAATTTTAAATGTAGGCACCTCTCACTATATTTTTCCCTAATTTAAAACAAATTCAAAAGCAAAGCTATTTTCTTATCTAGATGGTGGGTCAATGATCCAACTTTTCAAAGAAACCCATGATGTCATAATTGAATAATAAATATTTAAAAAAAGATAGAACACCAAAAATGAAAATGTACATAATTTTGTCGAGAACATTTATGATGTTATATATTCATCAAATTAAATAAAAAATGCAATACAAAATTTAATAATAATAGTAATAATTGTTGTTTGCTATAAGCATTTAAGTTTATTTTTAATTATATTGTTACTTTTGTTAATTTTCAATTTTTATCTTGTTTATGATATATCTAAAATTCAAGTAATTAATATGAAAAAAATTTCTCACGTACAATGCATGTACTTAATTACTAGTTCTTATAAATCGTTGATGGTGTGCGATCTAATGCTCCCTCTTGGCAAAATAGTTCGAATGTTGAATTGGCTAGGTCGTCTAGCTAAGCTGTAAAGAAAGAGATCAGAGTGTTACCTAAGGTGGGCACTCTGATGCTTAAGTCAACAAATAGTTTTTAGAGAACTAAAAAGCGATAGTGCTAGAGAGTTGTGAATGCTAAACCGTGCATAACTTATGAGGTTGGAAGTTATACCTTTATATATGCATTGTTTGGCGTGAGTTCACACATCGCATCTTAGATTTATGGGAAGATGTAATTGATCGGTTCGAAGTCCTCAGAGGTAGTTATGCATGCAAATTATGCTTTTGTGCCTTTCTCCGAAACATTCGATGTGGGAGCGAACTTTTGGAGGACCCGTGAATGATAGAATGCACATAGAGGAGGTCGGTGAACACATCTCGCATGTCACCACCTAGACCTCAATTGGATCGGCAAGTCCTCGATGGAGGTCGCTCCTTACGCTGAGGTCCCTTGGACCGGTACTGATGAGGTACCATAAGCTGACAAGTCCTCAAGGTAGGTCGCTTCTCACACCGACGTCCTTTTGGACCAGTAACAACAAGATAATAGATGTACCATAGGTCGGTCGTGGACGATGTGTTGCTAGCCGCCCCACCGAGGTGCCCGAGTTGCGTATGAGGTGCCCAAGCTATGTATGAGGTATCCTAGACTAATTCCGATGTGTGCCTCCTTGATTCAGAGAGATACGTGACTATCCGCATGGCATTGAGATGTTAGGTGGCAAAGACAGATGTCACGTATCGCCAGGTCAGTGGAGGGCCAAATCACCCTCATCAATAATATTTCTGTAATTTTTTGAGGATAAAATTTATCCTTTCATATTTAAATTTATTAATAAAAAAGATGGCAAATAGGGTAATTGGTTATTGATATTAAATGGCTTTAAAAGAAGCAATTTTAAGATATTCAATTCCTTCTCATTAAATCCAACATTTAAGGTATTAACTTGCAATCACCTTCATTGAGTCATATATTCAGGACATTTTTATTTTTGCTCATTATTAAATTCTATTAATTTATTCCATATATAATAAATTAATAATTTAAAAAATACAAAAGCTTATACTTTTAAAATATACCTTGAAAAAAGTGTTTTCATCTAAGTGGTGGTAAGAAATTAAATCATTTTGGGTCAAATGGGATAATCCATGTTTTCACAATTAAATAATAAATTTCAAAAAAGATAAAACATAAAAAAATATAGAAATAAAAAAAAATAAAACATTTTTAACATCATATATCCAACATATTAAACAAGAATAAGTATGATAAAAAAGAAATGATTTTATTAATGATGAAAATAGAATGTAAAATTTAAAACAAATTGGAATTAAAACTATTTTTCTGTTTTCACTCATTAAATCTCATATCTAAGGTAGATTCTCTCATTAAATCCTATATTTAAAATATATTTTTCTCATCATTAAATTCTATTAATTAAATCCATAACATTAACTTTAATAGTAAAAAAATAAATATTTTAAAAATGGAATTTAAAAACAAAACCATTTTCTTCCCTCTCGGTGGTGGGTAAGCAATTCTACCATATAGGGTCAAATGGGTGTAGTAGGTACATGATCCAAATCCAAGGCATCTTGTGCATTGTGAAATCGTGACAAGAGCTCAATCGAAAGTGTTGTTAAGAGTTTCATATAGTGAGTGGTTGATTAAGAGATTTCAAACAAATTCAAGTCGATCTCGAAAGCAAGTGTACCAAAGCTTGTAACTTCCAAGAAGAGCCTTATAAGATTTCTCATATATTATGGCCCGCTTATTGAATGGAGCAAATTTGAATCCGATTAGAAAATTCGATATATGATGAATATTAAAAATTAATGTTTGGATT